CCCTTTGCCCTCCCGACTTGAAAACCTTTTGTGTTTTCGCCTGTGGGCGTTGTAGTTTCTGTCATTATATTGTTGTTGTTTGAAAAGAAAAGAAAAATGAAAGAAAAATAAGCGGTCTGTCATTATGCACGGGGAGTAAAGAGAAAGGAAGACGAAAACGTAACAGGATAAAGAGCTCATGAGTTTCGGTTTGAGGCATCAGGAGAAATTGAATTTTGATTACTTCCTTATAACTGACTGGACGGGGGGATCATTCCGCTCACGGGAACGGCAAATAACAATTTTTCATTGGCCTCCTATTAAGTTTCACATCATGCAAAGTTGCGCGGATTAAAGTTTTGCCGCGGGAGTAGATTTTCCTTTCTCCCCTCCGTAAAAACTTGATTGAAAAGTTATTTTTTTCCGCGCCACAACATATTTTTCATAAATCAATCTACCCTACCCGTCGCTCTTTCTTTCTGTGCGCCTGTCCTTTTGCTGCAGCAACACTGCGCGTGTTACAGGCACCTTTTGGCCACACCAACACACACAGCAAACGCGTCAAGAAGAGGAGAAACCTTTTACGCACTTACTTTGTCTTCATCAATGTTTCTAGGGATACAAGTTCCTTGCTCGTCCCTCGCCAGTTCCGCTCCTCCTGGTCTCGAGGGAGAACGAGAGAACGAGGAGCACACAAGCAGAGAGAGAGAGAGAGAGAGAGATAGGGGGGGGGGGAGCACAAGGAGAAGGACGAGAGGGAAGGGGAGGAGGAGGAGGAGGGTGGAGGTGAGTGGAGCGAGGGCAGACCTTATCATTATTGTTTCCCAAAGTGCACCGCGCGTTTGGCCCGCTGCTCATGACCATGACAGTTCGGCAAACTGCTTGCCTCCGCCCGGAGCCCCCCGACCAGTCCCCGAGCGCACTCTCTGCCTCCCAACAAGCACCACCACCACCTGGAGCCCGCACAAGCGCACACAACACCCACAGCGTGCGCGTTTGTATTGTCGGGACGACACTGGAAGTCCGCGGTGGATGGTTAAAGGGAGTGTCTCACATGAAAAGGAGGGAGAAGGGAGAGGTGATTATAATCGGACGCATCCTCATCGTCGCCATCGCCGTCGTCGTCGTGTCGAGCGCACCCGTCAGCTCCGCCGGGTCCAGCAGCTGCCTCCTCGCCGCGCAGCAAAAGGCTTGACGAGCGTGCTGCTGCTGCTAAACGTCAGTCGGCTAAGACGAATGATAATGCCAGGGGGGGGGGGATGGTGGGAAGCCAAGGGGATGATGATGATCAAGGTGACGGTGGCGGCGGTCATGTTGACGGAGTCGATGGTGCTTGCAATGCACAGTGGGAATAGAGTTTTCTTCATTTTTTCGGGGGGGGGGGGCTAGGACAGGCCATATAAAATGAATGGAAAACAAATGTTGAATGTCGCGGGAACACATCGCGCGATGGAGATCAGAGACGCAGAGCGCATATTTCGTGTGAACTCGACGCTTTATAGAATAGCGAATATTGTTGAACGCAATATGCAGATGATGAATGCTTTGCACAACCCCCGCTGCTGCTGCCTCTGGCCAGGCCCGACCCGGCCCCCCGCAGCGCTGCAAACAGGATCATTATCTGCTCCGCGCCGAGCATGAGCGAGATGAGCATCAGCACGTCCAATGCGCCTCGCTAGCGGCAGCAGCGGCTACGCTGCTCCTGCTCTTTTTATTGTATTTCTGCCCCCGTCCCGCTCATTGCGTCCCGGGGTCCCGTCCCGGGTCGATACGTGTCGGTCCCGGATGCATTTCCGAGCGGGCGGACACGAAGAGGGCTCGCGGCGGCTTGTGCAGAGCCTGCAGCAGCGGAAGCCGTGTATTTTCGCACTGCTCATCCCCTCCACACTTCCTCGTCCTATGGCTCCCACCCCCGCGCGCACGGCTCGATCATCATATTTTCTTTCCTTTTCTCTCTTTTTATTTTTTTCTGCACGCCGACGATAAAAATTGGTTGCCTTCCCGAATAGGCGTCGGAGCACTGCTCTGAGAGCGTGCCGGCCGAATGGGTGGGATCCAGTGATAATAGCGGAGGCTCCCGATGGTTAGTTACGCGGGGGCGGAAATTTATTGACGACTTTTTTTTCAGGGGGAACGGAGGCAAAGGGGGAGGGAGAGAGAGAGAGGGAGGGGGGGCGGAGGAAACCAGCCGTGATTCACACATTTATTGCGACACGCCTCCCTTGACGTTTCCGAAAAGCACCGGTAGTATTATTTTTTTTCTCCCGATGTGTGTGTGTGTGTGTGTGTGTGTGTGTGTGTGTGTGTGTGTGTGTGTGTGTGTTAGAGAGGAAAGGAAAGGATGGCTTATACATCCATCATACGCCGCTGGCGTGCGGAGCGGAAGGACGGTTAAAAGGTGTGACCGGTGTACGAGGAGGAGCTGAGCGCGGAGCTGAGCGGGGCCAGCGGGGCTGAGTGGGAGTGGAGCACTATTCATAGTGAATGGCGCGCCGCTTGGCCTGCGAGAGGAGGAGCCCGGCGGAGCAGCCCGAGAGAGGGCGGGTCGCTTTTTATCATTTCTATGTACCTAAGTTGGATTTACGCTGTCGACT